AAATTGTTGTTTATTTTCGAAAAATCAACATCGTTCATTATGTGTTGAGAGTGAGGTGTTTAAATAGTGAACAAACTGTCCGAAGTTGGCAACCAACGAAAATCAGGCGTCGTCGAAAATGACCGACAACCGAAAATACGTGTAAGGCAATGTTTGCCAGGCCAACAAATCTCAACTCGCAGTAAACTTTATTAGTTGCTTGGAATTTAAAAAAATATGCATGACTTTTTAGGAAAAACTAGTTATAGTATTAGAGTGACATTTCAGAACACCTTTTATAAATGCGAAAAGTTAACAGGTTCTCAAATACACTGGTTATCGAAAATTTAGCGTCTTCATAATGCTTTATTTTTTGCAAAGCGACGTGGAGTTAAATGTTTCGTTTACAACTGGGTAGTTCTTTTAGACGACTGTGAGGATTTATGCTGCAACCGCTCGCACTTTGCCCTCTACTGCCGGATCAGCTTCATCGCTTTATTTAGCTTCATGGAGTCTTTATTGCTTAGATAAATTCTTTATGTTACCTTAAGACAGTCTTATATCATTGCTGCCTTAGGCGATTACCACGCATTTTCAACTATCTCCGCAGTGGCCGCGTTGCCTAAAATAAGTCAGTGAAACCTTCATAGTACAAGGCATATCGGATGTGTTATTAAACGTTCGGACATCAGTATTCTACTTTTATTTGCTTCCTTGATTTCTCAAAAGAGGAGATTCCTTCTAAGTAAAGGTAAAACTGAAGTATTTTGATTGAGGAAGCCATCATTTTCCACTGCAAGTCGTAACGCCCTAGGGCCACCCCACTCAAAAAAAAGTTCCATGCCAGTGTGCCTGTAAACTCTGAGAGCTACCGAGTATAACTCGATGAACTTGCCAGCCACGATAGTAGTGCAGCGATGAGAATAACACCAATTCATCAGCTAAATCACATATGAAAAAGATTTACTCGAATTTCAGCTATAGACGGCACTGCGAAGCATACTATGAGCAAACATAGGACAAGCATTGCGTCCATTCTCGTCAATTCTAAATCAAATGTCAAAAAATTTTTTCATTAGAAACATCGTGGTGCAGAGTGCTTTAATCATCTTATCGAAGCCATTTGTAGTGTATCTAGCAAGCAATAAAATAGTTTGAAATTCAATTGAATTGAAGATTGAAGAAAAATTTTCTCCCTAGTGATGCTGAGATAATGTTAACTTATTATTTACGGCCTACTCCTTTTAACAGCAGGGTACATATTGCGAAATATAACCTTAATGATGTTGAGATATTTGCAAAACTCCGGACCGCAGGTGTCTGCGGTGATGAACGAATGCGCTATTAATATGAATAGCCTTATATGAACGCAATAGCGCGTTCGTTCCCCACCGCATACACCTGCTGTCCGGTGTTTTGCAAATATCTCAACATCATTAAAGTTATATTTCGCAATATGTACCCTGCTGTTAAAAGGAGTAGGCCGTAAATAATAAGTTAAAAAATTTCTTGTTATGAAAAACGGCAAAAAACCACGTACAACCTATTTTGTGGAGTGGTTTTGAAAGAGAATACATAAGCAGTAACTTTCCGCTCTATTGCTTTTACAGGACTATGTAGTCCAATACAGAAACTTCATAACATTGTTCAACCATACTCGCTAACCAATCGGCAAGGTCAACGAATGAAGAGATGAACTCAATTAAAATGATTCTTTGCTGTGCGCCATTGTTTGAATCTCGATATAGACCAGTTTCAAATATAATACCTGCAGACCATGTCCATTACAAAAGTAGGAATTCAACTCGAAAAGAATTATATTAATAGGTGTTGTCCTTCACAGTGTCTAACCATCATCTCAGGATCACAATCACCGAGTATGTCACATACGTGAGAGTTTTAGTGAATGGTGAAAACATGAGAAAGCGCTGAGCGGAAAGTTCGTCCCCATTTAGGGAAATTCCTGTTCATTAAGGACTTGAAATACAATATGAGGTCAGTATCACAATCCTTGCCTTTTGGCATCCAAGCACTTTTAACGGGAAGCCGTGGAAAGAGTTTAAAAATGACAGGCAACTTCTTCAAAGTGGCTGCAATATATTGTTAATTGGTAATTTCATACTTTTACCTAATTTTTTGAACACAGCTTTTCCCCAACTTCTTATTGTGACCACTGTTTCTCAAAAATGAGGGCAATTTGATTCAGTTCTAGTTTAAACATATAACAGGAATTGACCATGTTCTAAGACTTGCTTCACAGACTTCGTCCGTTCTGTGAAGACAAGGCATATTTAATAGCTAGAAAAAACCTCCTTTCTTTCATCTTCAACCTGAATTGTTTCATTGCGATGAACCTAATTTGGTAAACTGAGACATATTACGATGATATTTGTAGAACCACTTTGTTGGCAGGTTGAATTTTAGAAAACTACTACCAACATGTTTGTGTATTATGTAGTATTTGCTGAAAAAAATCCTTCCAACATAGATAAATATAAAGTCTGTGAAGTGTGAGAAGCTTACATAGAAAAAACTGCTTGAAATGCTTAAAAATCCGTCAAGCTATGAATACATGAATGTAAGCTTATTTTGATTAGTGAGAAAATCATCAACTGATTCACCAGTAAAGTCACCATTCAATCCTATCGCACATCACAGCTGTCCAGTGAACACCGTCCGACAGACTTTGGGTGGGTCATCAGACTCTTTCGGGGAACCTTTTCATTGACGCTTTTGGCCAAATCGACGTGCAGGATAAAATCTGATGCATCAAAAACGAGTGCGTACATATGTGCGAATATCATTGCATGCTTGCGGAAAGTGTAAGTCAATCCGACGCAATCGAAACAGCGTGACAATTATTATATGACCCATTTCTTTCTCAGGGCAGAGTAGATGGTTGCTTTAAGACCGTGACCCTAATCTTCTCTCCACTAGCTGAACACAAACCACGTTAGTTGGCGAGTAACCACCTCGAGGTCTAACACGACGGAAGTTCTTCAGTGATACGTTATGTATTTAATTATTTATGTACTACCCGTCATCACATATTGTGTTCACAGAGTCAGTTGATTATTCCATTAATTGTGTTGCATCCATCATACAAGAATGTCTTCCTTCAGATTTGCGTGTAGAATCGGCAGTGAGGATATTGTCTTCTTTATTAATACCGTTGAATGCTGATCGAGCCCACCCTCCACGGAATAATGGGCTACTTCGGCGAGAGCTTTCTCAGCTCATCACTACCTACAGTCGACCTTTTTCTCGATTGCGATTTCTAAAGAGCTTTCTCCAAACAATTACGACAACAATTTTCAGACCACGGAGTGTTGGTAGGCGTGGTTGACCTTAGAAGACGTCGAATCAAAAACCTTGCGTATATTGCACATTCTTCTAAGTATTGCACATCCTATGAGCATAACGGCTTTATATTAAACATTTATGGCTGCTCGAAGTACTAAAACATCAGGACGGTCAAATCGTATACCTCATCAAAGAAACGCTAAGAAAACTCCTTTGACAGATACGGAGAGGGGAGATTGACAGTGCAACTAAACCATACACGTGATTGCGGACATCGAGAATATTCTTGTAGTTAATCACATTTCCAAACAGCACTTAACCATAAACAAGTTATCCATACAAGACTTGTTGGTCATACTCGTCCTTGAAACGCGGAGAACCTTAGATTCCCAAAGGTAACATTTTATTAACGCACAAACTTTTGTATACACTCGTCAGCAGAATGTAAAACTTGCAGTAATAATTTATATCGTGCATTTCCGTGCTTATTTCAGGTGATATCAGTGTCGCTTGTAAAACGATGTGGTAGAAAAACACCAACACAACTTCAGTAAAACACTATTGATGAAGATCGATGAACACGTAGAAGCATGTTCTAAGGCCAGAAAAAAATGATGCTAATCACTCATACAATCCCGTAGAACAATCTATCTCAAAGTGAAATGAAATGACAGGCATGTTCAATTAGTGACACGTTGTGCAGGTTCAAGATGGTAATGAATAGGCCAAATAATGCAGACTTTAGAAAAATTTCCATATACAAACACTTACTGACACCATGACAACAGCGTACCATATACTAATTTTGTTATACAAAATAAGAATACAATAAGAATACTGAACACAATATTAATACAGGGAAGTTCATTAATTCAGGAACAGGTCGTAGGATCTTAGGGAAATCAGTCTGCTTAAATAACACAATACACTGAAAAACAAACAATGGGAGCATTTGAGTAAGTATGATGAAGTGAACCCAATAGCCCTGGTTATATAACATAACAACCCTTCGAATTAGTGAATAACTTCAACAGTAATACAAAATACGGTAACATAGGAACTTAATTAGCAATTATATAATGGAAAGAAGCTCTACACTAAACGTTATAGAGCTCGCTACTACAAAGAGAAGGAATTTCTCTCCTAAAAAAGGGGATACGGAAAAAAGCATCCAAACAACCAAGAAATTGATGGGATTCAGCTAATGTCTCATGCTCAGAAAAAAGGAAAGGAAATGCTGGGAGCATCTACTTGGTAATGTTTGATATATTGTATATTGTTGGAGCATTGAGAACACTTCTGATAACGCTCGTGTCAACGCCTTTCATCTGTATTTTTTGATACAACGCAGCAAAGTCAATTTCATCGGGATCCAAGGAAGGAACTGTGTTTATTGGAGTAAGATTCTCGATGGAAGCTTTCGCGTATCTGCAAACAGTACTTTGAATCGAAACGCTTCCAAAAACCAGACAAGTACATGTAGTGGATGGATGGACTGACTTCAAACAGGCCTGCATGGATGCTATCATAGTCGGCGCGCCAAATCCATGTGTGCACAGACTGAAATGCTGAAGATCCGCTTGAATCGTTTCCGGAGTAACAACATCTCCAAGGCTGGACAATCTAAGGATGTCCACGAATTCTTGAAGAATTTGTCTGCAAAACTTTCCACTTTTGATGTTACTCATGCAGAAATTTTAAGAAAAAATGTATTCTTCTCACATCGCATTTGACAAACATTCTCTACGCTTCTGCAAATTCTCGTTGTTCATACGATGCTGATCAGTGATACGCGCAGCAAGAGTGGCAGCCGGAAATTCGGTCTCCGTGATAAAGGCGAAATCACGAGCAAGGTGTGTTGCTTCACCTTAAACGTCACCGCAGATGAGACGTTCGAACTACCAAGTACAGTTTATTTCCTCTTAAACAATCAATACCTTCAACTAGAGAGGTCAGCAATGTGACAGTAGCTGATTTGCGGCGACCGACTGGTAGTCTAAGTCCCATTTTATCTAGCATGTCACGCAATTCCTTTCCGCCATTTTTCGACTTTGCCCTACGAAGAATTCCTCCAAGAATGGAGGCATTGAGATTCTCCGGAGGTGAAAGACGCCTCTGGATCTGAAAAGCGAAAGTGATAAGAGGCAGTGCATGTCATTATCGTCAGTCCGATGATAATTGGGTTATCGAAACGAGTAACCAGTAGGTCGACCGATACATCCCAATGTGACGCCGATATCGATCGATCACCTCTGCAACTGTTCTGGTAATAATAGGTAACCCGCCCAGGGGCGGCGCCCCAAGGCCCTTCGTCTGGCGCTCTCCCACATGGTCACGCTATATTGGTGGCGTCGTCATGCCACCACAAAACATTATGCAAAGGCCGCGCACCCATTTTTCATAAGGCTGTCTAGAAATTGGGAGCGTTACGGCTTATTCAAGTGGCAGTTGTACAGAGAAACAATACAGGAACATCAAACTGTGGGATGAGTGGGACGGTATAACTAGAACTGATCGGACGATAATCGCGGAAAATCGTCTAATTCAAAAATGCACCACTAGCACTAGGTGAAACGAGGTGGCGAATGCAACTACCCTTACACTTATTTGACTTTGCTCTAACTGAAACCTAGGATTAGTGACTGTAGGAGATATGTTTTTCCAAAGCTCTCGCAAATAAACGGAATTTTCAATGATCTGATAATAAGAAGACAATGTAGCAAATATCACACACCTCGGCGAGAGTAACCTTGTATTTGCATGTGCTGCTCAAAAGTGAGAGACGGCCAGGCACTGAACAGAACACGTCGTCAAGACAAACAGAGCCAATCGAACTGATATGGGGGCTGATAGATCCTGTACTTGTGGTCTCCTCCGTAGCACACTGCAATGAACTGCTATCCGAATCAGAGAGATCATCTTCCGTCTCGCCTTCAAAACGAACTCTCTTATTACTGACAACGGTATCGACAACAAGCGAAGACGATGCGCCACGTTTCGGATGGCTGGGAGACACAGATGGTTCTGGAGATTCAGTGAGTGTAGGACTGAAGGTGCCTTCCTGTGCGGCTCGAAGAGCAGTACCGATACGGTCGATGACAGAACGATCCTTTTGATTTGTAAGTATTAACATGACGCGACGACGATGTCGACTCGACGAGGAGGCTGAGTTAGTTGTTGGGGGCTGGGCGACCAATCGCCGTTGTATGGTACAGGCAGAATGCCGCGAGGCAAGACACCACGTCGTCGCTCACAGGCGAACAGCGCCCCCACGAGACAGTGCGCGATCGGCGAGCCGCAGACGGCGAGGTCGGCCCCGGGTCATACCGCGCCCTGCCGGTAATCGTCGGCACTTCCCAGTTCGACGGGTAGCTCCCGGATCCGACCACTCACCGGTGAGTGACGCACTGGCGATTCGCATTCGAAACAACGGGCGCATTGGACGCAGCGCTTGTCTGGCGTCGCACATTCTGTGTCCGGTGTCAGCTCAACACCAACGAGCTTCACTCATTCAGCACCTTGTCAGCTTACCGTTGAAGAGCATGCGAAATGGTCAGTGAATGCCTAATTGTTCGTTGGAAACTGTGTTCTCTTCGGGACTTATCATCTATTGGCGTTGTCATTGTGACGTAAGTTCTGAACGGTGGGCATGCCGCGCCAGGTTTATAGACCATCGGCATGACCCAAGCAATGACACATGTCAAAATTGGAGCCATTTCTAAACTATTCGTTCCGATCCATCATAAAGGTACATATTGTTCACCTCAGTTTCACAATGGTGGAGACTTCGGGTCGTTCGGCATGGAGGACGCTAGGAGAGCAGAGAGGCAGCATTCCACTATTTGCTCGATCGATCACTGGCCGCGGGCACCTATTATCTGTCTGTGCACAGTGCGGACGATCCGCTGAGGGTCGCCGCGTCGCCCGTTGCGCGGCGTCGTCCGCGGCGTCCGGTGTCGCTCACCGTCCCTCGCCGCCCATCCGCCGCCGTCGGTCCACCCACAACGCTAGCCCCGGGTCGCGCCCCGCGGCAACCCGGGTCAAGGACGCGTCCGACGTCGACGCCATCCATACTCTGCAAATCTCAGCTTACATAGTACCATCTTCAGAGCGTTCTGTGCTGAATGAGAATCGTAATGCTACCGTTAGGGTAACATCAAACGTGTATTTATACACGCTGCATTTCTTTTTTTTTAAACCACGAATGTGTGAGTCTTTAAAGGAATTCTGAGGTGTGTTTTAGTTATTTAGACTAGATTTTGGGAACAAAACTAGTGAAAACATCTCATAGACGTCCTTGTCTACTTTTATTCCTTTCACGAAAAGTCCTTTGAGCTTCTGCGCAGCCCATAGAATTGGAACAAGAGGTTCGTGTTAGAATTTTGAGCGATACATGTGCGTTAAATGAGGCGCCTTAGTGATGAAAAAGTGCTGAGAAGCGGACTGTTTAAGCACTGTTACATGAGGGATGATAGGTTGAGACACTAAGGAGCAATGTGTTGTGTTGCTATGTTTACTAGTCATTTGTGTATTTAACGTATACACATACATACGTACATGTAGACATAGACATACACACAAATGTGCACATACATGTGAGCACACACATACCCATAGCTAAACACATGCACACATAGGTGCATGAGACACATACGTACATACATCCATGCATGAGTACACACATGCGTATATACATACACACATACATGCATGCATGCATACATACGTAAATACGTACATGCATATGTGCATACACGTACAGACGTGCGCATACATACATACATACATACGTACATAGATGCATACATGCACATATACATACCCATACACATACATATACACGCATACACATACACATACACATATACACACACATACACACATATACACACGCTTACACACACATACACATACACATACACACACACATAAACACACACAAATACACATACACATACACATACACATACACACATACACATACACATATACACACATATACACACACTTACACACACATACACATACACATACACACACACATAAACAACATACACACAAATACACATACACATACACGTACACATACACATACACATGCACGTACACATATACACACACATACACACACACACACATAAACACACATACACACAAATACACATACACATACACGTACACATACACATACACATACACGTACACATACACATACACACATAAACACACACACAAACACACATACACATACACACACACATAAACACACATACACACAAATACACATACACATACACGTACACACACATACACATACACGTACACATATACACACATACACACACATACACACACACATAAGCACACACACACAAATACACATACACATACACGTACACATACACATACACATACACGTACACATATACACACACATACACACATACACACACACATAAACACATACACACAAATACACATACACATACACGTACACATACACATACACATACACGTACACATATACACACACATACACATACACACACATACACACCAGCTTGTAGGAACTCGTTGAAATTCTGATTCACAAATCTAAGTGCTCTCAACTTGAAGAATAATGTTATCAGCTACAGTAGTAGCAATAAACAAATTTGGAGATGTAACTTGAGCTTCTCGCCCTTCTTTCTTTAAGGTTACATTCCTTTTTAAAGTGATCTGATCCTATGAAGTTACATACAAAAATCTGGACGGAAGTGTATTTTTTGTCTTGATGGAGTTTATGACAAAATAATCATTATGACTCACACATAGGAGTTATATCAGGGATGCACTGTCTCCATTATCTGTCCAACACATAGGTGGCCTGAGTAGGTACAATTTTTTGCTTAATCGATATGGAATCTTCAAATAAACTAATTCGGTGAAAAAGTTATCACCTTAAATTTGTCCAGAACGGCTTTGAATGCTTTCATAATCTTACATTTGTGTGTGTTTCGGGATAAAAAAAACCGTACTCATTTTCGGCCTGAATGTTCGTGCTATGAAATGAACTCTCACTATCCATAGCAATTTCACATCATCAACAATTGTAAATGCAGCAGTTAATATAAGTGAATTATTTTTCATAAGTTTCGCGGCCCTGGCGAAAAAGTACAATTGATGAAGGGTTGGCCGATGGTCAATCGGATGCTGCATGCGTCAAACTTCACTGGACATCGTAGAATTCACTGAATGCATACTTTTTCTACAAAACGGCCAACCTGTATATTAATTCAGTGCTTTTGATTCCCTTCATAGACAAGTTTTGTAGCACCCTGAATGACGCTGTCGGCCCAGGGTGCATGATCGAACCAGGGACCATGTGTGTATTACTGGCTGCCTCTGAATACTGATTTACACGACCCCTGAGGTTCTTGAGTGCTTCGATGCCAAAACTGACAAGACTTTTGAGAATTCAGATATAAGACTGGATATCTGTCAGGTCGAAAACCTTATAAAAGTTAAATTCGTACTTCAGGCTTTCACATAACGTTGTTTAATACGTGATCATATATAGGGCAAAGCCATGGATAATCATGTGTAATATCTGAAATTTTTATTAAGACGTTAATGTTATTAAATAATGCTCCAGAACAGAATATTTGGTATAACATGCTTGAGATCTCTCACACCGTTGTTGTATCACCTTTTATTTCAATGTTTTTATACTCTATATATCTCTCCAAGCGACTTGTAAGGCCATCTGAAGAAAGACCGTATATTTCGGTTTACGGAACTGCAGAGATCTTCTTTCTGACAATGATGTAGGAATTCCACTTAGAAATGGGGAAAGCTCTGACAAAGCTTTCGGGACTCCAAGGAAAGAAAACGCAACTGGAAAGCTATCAGTTAAATGGATGTCGAACTAGCATCTGTACTATTCCTCATAAATCACGATAATGAGACAAGCACCCATCTAATTCGTAGGTATCAGTGATGGGTTGAAGGACACATAGCTCAAACATTATTCGACCTGATAGCACTTATCAGTGGAGATTCAGCGAAGCAGCGTAGCTGTTCCACCTCTTTTTCATTCTTCAGAGCTGAATCATTGCTAGTGATTCACAGCGTTTTCATATTTGCGCAGATTTTGATTCCAACCAACGTGTTTTTTCAGAACCATTCTTGTGAAAGTATTTAGAATTGGATTTGACGTTTGTATCCTCCTCTACAAATTGTCTGTTGTTTTAAACCATAACAATCACGTGGAACAAAAATCAAAAATCAGTGCCTTCAGCGCCGGATGTAGATGACACATACAGGACATGGCTTCACATACATTTTGTTTCACAAAATATTGTATTTTGAAGAGTAAAAGTATGACACACAACATCGTAATGTTTGACATAATTTGAACCACATTTAAATCAATTTTTCCGTTGTAATAATGTACTCATCAGTTTTGTTGTGCAGCGAACAGTGTGAGAATTCCCGCTGCCTAAATCCATTCATAATAATGGGATCTCCCACTTCTCTCGTTTAATGTGAAAAAAATGTTCCTCACAATAAGAATTTCTCCTAGGTCCTTGCAGTTCTCAAGTTTATTTTAAGACTTATAAGTATTGAGAGCTGACAGATTAACACTGTACGGCCACTGTTAACGGCAATACGGCATGTCTTTTTTTTATCGAACACGTACTAAATATATGGGAGCAACCATCGTTCTCGTTAGGTCCTAATTTCACTGGCTTATTTATCAGACCTCACAGCGGTTTATCGCCTCCTTGTGGCTGGGAGGTGTTCTTGGGTGTCTGGCTGCGATGCACAGCGGGGGATTCATTCCCACAACAGGGCCCCCTAAACTGAAAAGGAGACCTGCTTTTCCATCAAGAAGCCTAGCTAAGAGTAAGCCAATACCAGGTTCCACCGCCGTCTTGGTATCAAAGTTGCATGGTGGTAAACCTCCCTCTGATCCACAAGGACTGCCTGTGGTAGTGAAGACCTGAAGCAGACTTTGGCCAGGCTGACCTCGGGATTCCATGGAGCCACAATGGCTTAACCAGCGAAACTCCGGAACAATTGAAGTTATGCTGGGGCCCGCACAGTCAGTGAAGATGGACCATCCAAGTAAAGTAGGTGAGTAAAATATTTATCAGAGATTGATTAAGCATAGGGAAAAGTGAAAAATTATAAAGGCTGATGGTATAATCGACAGGTCGATTATTTAAGAGGAAAGACTTTGTAAAATTCACACAGAAACACTTATCCCACTTACATTTCCTTGAGTATCTATATGATTCTTATTTGTATTTCTTGCGGTGCAACCGCAAGTGCTATTCTGGAAAGCCTAATAACACAAGAATGCATTGATAACTAAGGCCGTGGTTAAATGACGGAAGATACGAAAAATATTATCTTGAGATCTACTCGCTGCTCTTCTCGTCCATCTGTCATCTTCTCTTCTCATTGCATGAGTGGTATCGCTAT